CCCAAAACTCTAAAAAAGATACACTTTTTAAAAGATTTTTATGGAGAGAAATGAAGTAGTTTTAATTTTCTTTGACTCCCATCCTGAAATGGGATATCACCAAGAGAAACTAGATTATATTTTGCCTGTTATATTATATTCTATAAATATATTATATATTCGCCTCTCCTTGCACCTTTGGACGCAATCTGGACGGCTTAGTGGGAGTTCTCTCCCTTGACCGCATTGACAACAACGAGCGGAAAAAGTCACGAATCAAATGACATACTTACCTATCATCATCCGGGTGCGTGTAGGGTTGCGTACAGTTGCGTGTAGGGTTGCGGTCATCATACGGTTGCGCTAAGGTTACCAATCATCATACGGTTGCGTGTAGGGCTGCGTAGGGTGTCTATCACCATCATACGGTTGCGTAGGGTGTGGGTTGGGGTTAGGGATAGGGTTAGGGTTACCGGTAGGGTTAGGGGTTACGGTTAGGGGTTAGGGTTGGTTAGGAGTAGGGTTAGATGTGAAAATTGTGACGTAGAACGTCCAAATACTGGGCTACAATCTGATGCTTGTGGGAGTGGCGCCACTGGAAGTGTGCCAAATATGACGGCAATAGCGCGCGACTGGAGCCCATTCGGTGGCGAATTGTCCGTGTCAGTAGCATCCACCGTCCGTCGACTGTTTGGGTGTGTATGTGACTGTGCGCGATTATAGGGAACTACGGCGTCAAAATTGTCACATCTAACGCTAAACCTAACCCTACACCTAACCGTAACCCTAATCCTACCGCTAACCCTACCAACGCAAATTTATCGGGCATTTAAGCCAGATCGGCAAAACACCAAAAAAAAAAAAAAAAAAACACAGATTTCCCCACAGCGTCAAGAGAAAAGCCCAGACCTGGGGGGACACAACCAAGCATTTGCAGCCCTGATGTCGACCTCACTGTCTTGTTTGATTCGTGACCTTTTCCGCTCTTTGTTGTCAATGCGGCCAAGGGAGAGAACTCCCACTAAGCCGACCTAAGCCGTCCAGCTTGCGTCCAAAAGTGCAAGGAGAGCCCAGGCCATAATCAACCACTGACAGGATCAGGTGCTGATATAGTGTGAAAAGCATTTTCTGCTCTATGCAGCCATAGTAATATATAGAATATATGGCTCTCCTTGCACCTTTGGACGCAAGCTGGACGGCTTAGGTCGGCTTCCGTCCAAAGGTGCAAGGAGAGCCATGGCCTGGGACTGCTTACCGTCTCAAAGAGTCAGATGGACAAAGTAGAGCCATACAGAACACAGACCACCCTTTGCATGAAGCTCTTGGTGCAGTTAAGGGTCAGCGGCTGATAAGAGGGAGGTCATGGATGGCTCAGGCAGAAGACACAATCAGACAGGTTTGCATCGAGAACATTAGGCTAGAAGAGGAGTGGGTCAAAGTGCCACCTGAACAGTGAGACTTGTGTAGAGTCATAATCGCGCTGAGCCGGGAATGCAAAGAATGGCCAGCAGGTGCCACGAAGGTGAAAATTCAGCAATTAATTCAAGATAATGCTCGCTTAGAGGATTTGATCATTTACACAGACGGTTCAGTGTCAAGAGGCAAAAGAAGTGCTTGGGGCTTCTTAGCAAAAGTTAATGGTCGACGTTTGGTGCAGGAGAGCCTAGCATATGATACAACATCCAGCATAAGAATGGAGGTGGAGGCGGTAACTGCAACTTTCGCTGGCTAGAGAACACGACACACACACACATCGTGATTGTAACTGACTCAGAAAGCATGCTTCGTGCAGATTGGCACGCTTTGCTGCGGTGGACACGGGTGAGGAGTATTGTCTTGATTTTTTCACCATGTTACGCGGGTGTGTTGGAAAATGAACAGGCGGACAGACTGGCTGGCTCTACACAACTTGGTGGAATACTGATACCTGATAAGGCAGATGTGGTTAGTGCCTTGTGGGAGAGCGTGTACAGTTCGGAGGAGCAGATGGATCAATCACCAGTCTGGTGAGATTGATGCAGGGGGAGTGACGAGAGGTTCTGGCAGATGATCGAGGCTCAGAGGAAAGGCAAGGCGGACGTTTAATCAGAATGCTACTGGCACTATTAGTATTGGAACTCTTCACTGGCTGCTGAAGATGGGGACGAAATGCTTATGGGAATGCCTCGAGTGCTGTGATGTCGGTTCTTGAATCAAATCAAATCAAACCTGTTCTATTCCAATCATCTTTGTCTTTCCGCTAATGGATTTTGAGACCTAATTGTTGGTCTTTCCCTTGCCCTGCGCTTATCATTTCTTCTTTAACGTAGTTTTCTCTGAATGTTGGTACCAAGGCATTCTTGTCACATGGTAGGATCATTTTCTGTGCTGCTCTTTAATAAATATGACTTTGCTGTGTGATTATTTACTTTTGCTTGTTTTAGTGTGGGTTTTAGGGTCTATTTTGGGGGAAACAGAAGAACAGACTCTATGTCCATCTCACCTGAGAGGCAAAGAACCAACAGTCTGCATACAAATAAATCAGGTCTGTAAAAGTGAGGTGGATGCAAAATCTAACTTTTTTAACAAGATTAAAGCCTATATGTGTTCGAAGAACCAAAACTTTCTGCCAGAGTTTACAAGTAGTGAACGTTAAGAAGAATTCAACAGTGCAAATGCTCAAGTTTTCGTATCCTACAGAAGCCATTTTATTTTATATCACATAGAGCTGAACATTTCAGCTTTGTGGAACAAAAATGTATTATGTAAACAAGTGAAATATACGGGGTCAACATAATGGAAGAATGTGGTAGGAAAAGTGCAAAAACTGGTAACGCATTAAGAGTAACCAGTAAACTCGTGGTTAATTAATTGGTGATGAAAGGATCAGGGATCAGTTAAAGTCAGGAACCTGGGATGTTTTCCATGATTCATCATTATATTTTAATAAAAATACAGTTATTCAAAATGATGGATAAACCTTTAATCATGTATAGTTTCTTGAATATAATCGCATATTAATAATATACATATATGAAAGAGAGGAAGGTCTAAAGATTACCAATTTACAATAAAGGATAGAGATTTTCAATATGGCCACCGTCTGTTGTTCGGCAAACATCTAACCGGTAGCCGAACTCACCCCACACACGAAGCAGCATCTCCTGTGTAACTGATATCACTGCAGCTGTGATATGCCCTGCATTGGTTTAGACAGAGTTATCAGGGAGCCGACCGTCCAGAAAGCAATGGCAAACTACTGGATGTAAATTTGCCCAAAGAAACTACACAACAGCCAGGGGCTGCTGGGGTTGGGTCTGCAACATCCGATACGCAACTAACCTGTGACATATTTCTACAGGTCGCCCAGGTGTTTTTTTTACAGGTGTATTCAAAACTTTGACCTTCCCCTCTCTTGTATGGATATTATTTTGTTTATTAAATGGATCAACATCATGGCACACAGGTGTAATCTTAAGTGCTCCATTCTACTTCAAACTCACACCTAAGTCTGAAGAATCTCAGTGCTGTACACAAACTCTGATGAACGAGCGAGGATCGTGAAATACTTTGGGTAGATTTTTAACTCAAAATGTTGCCTGGGTTGCACTGTTAGGTTACTCTTTTTCTATTTACAACTGCCAAGTATTTTCTACGTGCACAACAATACACACAGGCTCTGGTCTTACTACCGGGAGACTAGGTGACAACAATACACACAGGCTCTGGTCTTACTACCGGGAGACTAGGTGAAATTACTAAAGTCCATGTGAAAACCCTCCCAGCTTTCGCCAGGGTTTGAACCTAGGACCTCCAGTACTCGAGGCGGATGTCATACCTCAAGACCTCTCACCAACCCCCCTCTAATTATTTATATTTAATGTATATTCAAGAAAATATACATGAATGAAAGTGTATCCATCATTCTGAATAACCCTGTATATACTTATATGAACCTCTGCATTTACATCAAAGTATTCTGGTAGCTCATTAGTCCATCAAAGGTAATAACATTCACAACTCAGAACAAAGTCGTAAGGTACAGACAAAAGACAACTAAGCATAATATGTTCTATGTTTAATATGCTTATAATTTAATTTGACTGACTACTGCAATAATTAGTTCACTAAAGTGTACCATTTCAACAATGCAATGCTTTCTGTACATATTGGGCTGACTGTTGACACCACACTTTAAAACATGTCTGAGTGAGCTGCATGTTCTATTCGAAACATCACAAAATGAGCGCAGCATTTAACAGCTGTTGTGGTTTTATTAGGCAATTTTATATTCAGTATTTACCCACTGCTTTCTGCACCATTGATTTCTGAGCAGTAAAAAGATTATTCTGTGGTCAAACACTAATGCAAACTAATTAAAATGCCTGCAGCTGACTTCAAACTCTGGTATGTCAGAATTGTGAGAATGTGTATATAACCCTAAGCTGACACTTGGCGCTAGGCCAAAGTCAACTTAGTGCTAAATCCTTGTTTCCACAAAAGTGTGCTTTCTGAAGTGGAAAGTCAGAATTGTGTGAAAACCAGTACCTCATTTTGACCTTACTGGAGTAGAAAGTCACGTGTGCCACTGGAATATTGTAAAGGACAAACAACAGCCCTGAAAATGCATTTAGGTGAAAATCCACTGATAAGCAACACAATGCTGAAACACTACTCAAAACATACAGGATGATTTAATTGTGTACAGAGCTGCAAACAACACAATGCTGAAACACTAATCAAAACATACAGGATGATTTAACTGTGTACAGAGCTGCAAACAACACAATGCTGAAACACTACTCAATACATACAGGATGATTTAATTGTGTACAGAGCTGCAAACATCGTATTTCTGAAGTATAGATGCAGAAGTCATCTATTCATAGTCTACACTGCATTCATCTATGGAAACAATAAGGATTTATTACACAAATCTGCTCAAAAAACCACGAAGTAAGCGCAGCCACAGACTCACTCAGTTTATTACAAAGAAAATTAGATAGTCTCAATGAAACCCTAACATACGAAAGCTGACTTAACTACTCCTGACCCTCGTAAAACTTGGACAGGAAGTCTGTGGGTTTGGGCTTCACTGTGTCCTTGAAGTACATCATAACATGATTGGGCTGCTTCCATAAGTTTGCTGTTTCCACCAGCTCCATCTGACCCTGCAAACAATGTAGATGTGTAAATTATCAACATATTTTAAGATGACAAGGTTCCCTGTGTGGGTTCCAGAGACGCATTTTTGGGGGGAAAGAATTTAGCCACTGCCACTTTACAAGCATGTCATAAAAGGGTGACTTCTTCTTTGTTCACCGGCAGTGAGCTCCAGCGGAAAGTCCTGGTGGTTGGTCCATTTGGACTTTGGCTTTGTGCCAGGGTCTGAGCTGTGCGTGTACATCTGTTTTACTGACTTATTTGTGTACAGTTGGTTGTTCCTTGCCACTCGGGCAGATGCACTCTGATCTTGAAGGGAGTCCCCAGCTAGTCGACTCCTACAACATGCTTGCTGGGAAGGCAGTGGGTCAATTCTTGTTTTAACCACAATGGGTCCCTGAAGCTCACACAGGAAAAAAAAGGTGACTAATTAGGGGTTTGTTAAAATAGCATGTGTAGGGCTGAAAGGGGCAGATATCACAGCCTAGTTGTAAACCACAAGACAATGTGCCAATTCTCCTTTTGAGGGCGATTTAAAAAAAAAAAAAAAGAATTCAACAAACCTTAGAGAGATATAATTTTAATTTCCTGTTACCCTAAACATAGTAGCATAGTATTAGAGGGTCTCCATAACTGCAAACAGACCTTGAAATAAAACCTTAGGAGTACTAAAACCAACACAGCTTGATCAACAAGCCACAGAGATCCGCAAGTTAACAGATTCCCATAATTCTCACTTTCAAAGGCAGCAGAACTGGCAAAGGATTTTGCTATCACTGGGTTGTGATGCTCTGTGAAGATCTTGCTACTACGATGCAGTATTGAGCCTGTGTTATGGCAAAAATCTGCAAAACCTCATTATTATCAAGTGTCATGCTTATCAATAAAGAAGGTCATGATTCATCTTCTCCTTTGGATCAGGTCATCTTACCTATAGTCGCCCAACCAGTATGGTCACTGCCAAAAAGGAAGAAATGGCAAACTGCCTTCTTCAAGATAAATTATGATATAAGCTTTCAGTGGCTTAAGCACTTTTGCGCAGCTGATCATGGGTTAAAGGTTGTAGTTCAGCTGTACCACACAGTAAACATGTTAAAAGAATTTCACCCGTAATAAGCAAACATTTTATAACATAACCCTTGACCCGTTGGGGTTGGGGAGGTATATTGATACTACTAGAACATAAAACCTTGCTTAATCTTCCACTTGTTGAACTAGTGGATATTAATGTTGTCATGTCAATTACTTGATGTCATTACAGGTTCTTCTTTGCCTCCCTCTTCATCAGCTACCCCTCTTAAAGTATAGTGACTGCAGTCAAATCCTGTCTGATCACGTACCCAAACTAAACTAGCCTGTAACATTTCACCACTGCAAAGAAAGGCTTCCCTGATGTCCTGCAAACATGTGTATGTCTTATCTGGAATCAGAATCTCGGTCTCATGACTGAGAGATGGCACCGTAACCGTTTGGCCACAAATTTTATGTGCTTATAATTTACTTTAAAACTAAAATAAACAAGCTCAAATATGCACACAGATTCACATACCCCAGTAACCTGCTGTGTAAAACCTAGCAGTAGGGTCATTCTTTCAGGTTAAAATGACAGGGAGGATAGGAACTGGTTGCTGGTCTTAAGCCTGAGGATTTAGGGCAGCATGGTTAGTGCACCTGCCACAAAATGTGCTGTTAGGATTTTATGTTCGTACCTAACAACAACAAAATCCATCACCTTAGTAAGGAACCTGGAACTCACAAATGAGAGCCTAGCAATCCTAACCACTCACCCAGCCATTCCTCTCTGTGCACTGAAAACATAAAAACATCTATTATTTTGAACATAGCAGTCATGTATGTCTGTGAAGCACACAAGGCACACTGTGACAAGCACACATAGGCTAATGCTGACCTTTATAACTAGCATGTCAATGATCCGAATGTCTGTAACATGCTTATTCTTCAGAAACATCTCTCGAACCTTGGCCCGACCTTGTTCAATAGTTATGGGTATGTAAAAATCCTTCACTGAAAGCAAGTAAAGTGGAGACTGGGAAATTTAAAATTTAAGTTTAAAAACATTATTAAAAATGTATATAATATGCATCATAAGCAACCCATTACTGCTTAATTAAATCTTCTTCTTCTTCTTATAGCCCATGTCAAAATTGTAATTTTGTGTCCATGGCCTTATGTCTCATGTAGTGTCAATAATTTGTTTTATATAATTTCTTCCATGCCATGATGCCAAACTGGCTGCCATCTTCTTTCTTGGCCTCCTTCAGCCTCTCTTCCCCTCTCTAATCTAACAAATGCTTTCTTTATATTCTGACTTGCTATTTGCACAGAAAATTTGTTAGAAATTAAATAAATATGGCGCTGAAAATTCAGTCACAGGTGTGTATAATGAGATACTCCGTACCTCACCTCGGGTGCTAGCCTTCTCTGTGCTGGTTTTATGTAACCTCATGCAAGACTAATGCTGTATGTCCTCGTCGTGCGCACAATGAATGTCACAAATGAGCATTAATAGAGCTGGCAGGGGATCTTGAAGCTCCTGGCACCCAGAGATGTAGTGTCCAGTATGGCTCTAATCAGTTCACCCACAACGCATGGGTAAGAATGTCTTATCAAAACTCATTTGGAACGTGAGTAAAGCCTGCTCGCTGATTTCACCACTAAATGACAACTCTCCGTTAAATGTTGAGTGAAAGAACAACCGAACTGCTGAGACTCAGCCCTAAACCAAGACATTTGCTCGCTGCTTAGATGAGTAATATCTCCTGTGAGCAGTTTCTTACATAAAATCATATCTTCATAATCCTTTGTTGACCCACAACATCGTCGTCACCGCGTTTTGAGCAACATCATGTCCCATAAAACAATGGCTACAGTCATCCTAGACACAGAATCTATATTTTCCTTTGAAGTCAGAGTATAACTGCCCAAGAAGCAGGGAACAAGAACAGCACACAAATATGCTAGTAAAACGAATCTGGACGCAAAATTCAGGTTGTGGTACAAAGCAAAAGTCCAAATAGACAAACAGTCAGGACTTTTCGCCAGAATTTGCAGCCAATGAACAGAAAGAAGAAAGAAAATATTAAATAAAAATTGGTTCCATTGCAATATCCTTAGAAATTTATTAGGCTTAGGGTGCTAGTACCATGTTTCTATTTTCTTCTTCTTCTTCTGCATTCATCTGAAGATGTACATGCAGTGTGCCCATTTACAATTTGGCTGCGATATTATTATCTGGGGGCTAAACTCCGAATAATGGGCACATATTATGGTGGCCAAAAACACAACCTAACAGGGCCTCAGTCACATGTAAATTACGGACTTCCGGCGACTACCACCACCGCTGAGAGTATCTGCCACAAAAAACTACGCGCGGCTAAACTAGATGGCTGGGATGGCTACCGCATCTCCTGCAGCTTCCTTTATTTCTTTTGCTCGTGAGTCCCATCCATCTAGTTTAGCTCAGTTCCACCCCGCGCATAGCGGCGTGGGAGATACTCTCTGCGGTGGCGGTAGTCGCCACAAGTCCGCAATTTAAATGTGACTAAAGCCCTGTTAGGGTGGGTTTTTGGCCACCATAATATGGGCCCGTTATTCGGACGATAGCTTTATCTGTGCATTTCAGCCAACAGATTTGACTTCTAACTGCTGCCATTTGTTTGTTGTCCAGGTTAGCCATCCTAGTTTTTTTCTATTTTAAAAAGAGGCATTTTGGTGCACAATGCGGTCAATATCATGCTGCCTGTCTTTGTTTTCCAGAAAAATACTGGTATCCATTTAGTAACAATAACCATCCAAGCCATATCATTCTATGAATGCATTTATGTGCATTCTTCTCTGTTCTTTCTGTTGTCAAAGCATTCTGCTTTATGTTGCACTCTGCTGAGTTTAACAGAAGGCTGGTAAGCGCTGTATGAGAGACATTTTTGGTATATCATGTTGAGACCGCCCCCAACGACTGTGTACTCAAAGGAGCAGAAATGCCAACAATGTACGTTCTACTGTGCAAAGACGTCTGCGTTCTGTTAGTTGGGACACAGCCGACAATGTCCCCCGTATCATCTTATGGAGGAGGCGGGAGGGTCGCATTCCAAAGGTGAAGTCGCAACAGAGAAATGTATCAACATTAGCAGCTAGGAGAGATCATCTGCAGACGGCTCCTCTGGAGGGCAGTGAATGGGAATGAATGTCGCAGCTGTTCCAAGAAGCCAAAGCGGTCGAATCGGTCGATTACAGAATACAGGACTCAGTACAGTACACTAGAGACTACGGTGTCCCGAAATTTGCGATCTTTTGGCAATTTCCGTTACCATGGAAACCATTGGAAACTTGTTTTGCAAATGTTGGCTGGGGTTTTAGGATGGGTCCTAATCTCTCATGAAATTTTGCGATTGGTGTGATTTTCCCCCACTCTAAATAGCTGAAAACAGCGGGAAGGAACCCGATTAACAGCGCATGTCTACGACAGCCGGACGTCCTCTGTTTTTCTGTTACATCAGTTTGATTGAAAATAGCGATAAGTATTCAGGGTTGGCTTTAGGCTTTAACTGTTACTCGTCCTGGTAATGCTAGTTATAATTGAATTCTCCGTCCAATTTTACATTTGTGTATAAAATTTATTTCTGGTATGTGGCTAGGTAGATGTACAGAGACATTTTTCAGGCAATCGCTGGCTCAGCCAGTCTCATTGTCTGCCATCTTGTCCAATGCAAACAAAGCCAAAACGAAAGTTGCGCAGTTTGTTAGTTGCGCAGAGAAAACTTCTTGTTTCTGGGAGACCAGTTTTTAGCAGCTGTTTTTTTTACATCTCATCTCCACAAAAACCTACATATCTCAACTCAGAAATGACATACAAGCCTAAATGAGGTACCTTTGGATAGAAATTGTTTACAGCTATCTAACTGTGCTGGTTTTATTGGTGTAGAGAGCATTTTGAACATTTGACTAAAGTACACGATTCCCAGGGACTGACAGTTGTACACTACATTACATGTCATTAACAGTTTAGTTTCAGGCAAGCTATACATTTTTTTAAATGTAATACCTGTATACGGAATCTGTCTATACCACGCCTTATACAAGTTCAAGACTCTTCGCCTCGCCTCAGTGCGATCAACGGACAAAATTGGTTTTACATGTTTCAAGCCTTGCTCCACCAACTTCTTAGCCGCCATCTTGCTCAAGGGCAAACAGAAACACAAACCAGGTTTTCGTAGAAAAGCCGAACTAAAAAGATAAATCTGAATCATGGCTGGTTGGACACCAAGTTTTTAATATTAAAATTTTTATATATATATATATATATATATATATATATATATATATATATATATATATATATATATATATATATATATATATGGTTAGGTTTAGGATGAAGAATTATCGTTCAGTAATATATACGTAAACTCTCAGATTATCCAACAGTGGGCGAGTGTTCCTATTAGAAGCTAGTTTGTAAAGCGTCGCAACAGCTACTGCCTGCTTTCTTTGCCACCAGTTACACACATGTTTCTCAATCACCCCATATGTCATTGAGAAATACAGTACATGTATATTTACACCCCATATGTCATTGAGAAATACAGTACATGTATATTTATTCTGAAAGTGTTTCAAGGATCGTATTATAATATACAAAAATGTCATGTATAACACGTAATATGCCTTCTGTCCATCTTTACTGTTAGAAAGAGATCTGGAAATTCACTACCATGTGGTCCTAATTCTTCAGGTTCAAAGACCTCCTGTCTACACCGCAGAGGTATTACATTCAAGCAGTAATAACTATTTATTTTAATTGAAAAAAAAGGGGGTTGGAGAGGAAGGGGTGTCAAAACTGAAGTCTTATTACCTTTACATTTCTTCATGTCAATAGTCAAAAAGAACTAATTAATCTTGTTGACATTTTCACTTAGATAGTTAAGAAATGTTTACAGTTTTAATGTGCGTCCATTCACGAGTACTTGTATGTAGACCACCGAAGTCGCCACTAAAGCTACGGAGATTCATGTTTGTGCGACGATCTCGAGGAGAGACTGGGTTAAATGGGATACTACCGGGTACACTGGAATCAACCCTCCGTTTTTTTTTAAATTAGGAAATGTTTCGTATCTTAAATTCTACAAACTGTAAACTCCCTCACCCCCCCCCCCTTTTTTTTTTCAGGCCTATTTCCTTCGTCGTGACTAGTCCCGTATGAATATTAGATGGTGCTGCTATTTCGTTGCAAGTTTATGAAGACTTTTAGCGTTACATATTTAGCAAGGCAACCGTATTTCGGAACTCCGCTATGCAGATGACACAGTCCTCCTTTCGAACAGCTTAAAGGGAATATACAATTTAATATTTTCTGTCCAAAAGCACAGTGAAGATCAAAATCTGTTCTTGAAAACGAAACGAAAACGAAAATTATGTCCACAGACAAAAATGACTGTCACCCAAAAATAACAATAATTGATGAAGAAATTGAAAATGTCACATTTTGAATATCTAGGCTCTATAATTAACAGCAATTGAGACTGTTCGACGGAAATTAAAAGGAGGATGGCCTTAGCAATGCAAAGATTTAAAAGCCTTAAAAGTCTATGGTTAAGCACCAGCAAGGATATAACAATTAGAATTTTGAGAGCATACATCTTCCCTGAGGCTACAAACGGATGTGAGTCGTGGACTATTTCTCAGTCTTTAAGAAAGAGGATAGGGGCTTTTGAGCTGAAAAGCTATAGAAAGATTTTCAAAATATATTGGACAAAGAAGATGAGAAATATTGACTTCTTAGAAGATCTGAACATCAAGGAAGATTGGCTTATAAACAACATCCTTTCTCGGAAGCTGAAATATTTTGGTCATATCAAGCGCCACGACGGATTGGAAAAACTTATAGCAGAAGGCATAGTACCAGGAAGGAGGGGCAGGGGCCGACCGACACAAAGATGGGCACAGGATATAAGTGACTCCTTGAGTGTGAAAGTTCATGACGCGGGAAAACTGGCGAGAGACCTAGTTTCATTCAGGCGGACTGTGATGAGAGCGACGTTCTGAAAAGGACCTGCTATATGATGATGATGATTTGGCAAGGGCTAGGCTGCCAAAAGTCATAGTTTGCCAGTTTTCCCGGCATAATTAGCTTTTTGTCAATCCAATTCACTGGAACTAGTGGCGTGGCGAGGTCAGGTGGCACTCGATGCGGAATATATCTAGTCAACCTCCCACTCCCCAAACACACACACACACACACACACACACACACACACACACACACATATATATATATATATATATATATATATATATATATATATATATATATATATATATATACTAGCTGTACCCGGCCACGCGTTGCTGTGGCATAGTTTGGCTAAATGGAAATGAAAGAAAATAGAAAACGCACGTGTCTAATACAATCATTGTCTGCTCAGATATAGAGATAGTCTTTGATCCCCGCCCACCACCACAACTAAATCCACCTACAACTATCTCCCTCATCAAAGGTTTTTGGAAAAAAAAGACAATGGAAATCGCACGTGTCTAATACAGTTAATGTCGCAATCATTCTCTGCACGGATTTGGCGATAGTCTGGTTTTCCAACTTTAGAACACGCACCTTATAATTGTGTCTTTATATTAGTGGTTGTTTAAATGGTGTTATTAGCACAGTAACAAAAATGGTTATTTGGTTATCACACGCTAAAGCTGTTTGTATTTTTATAGGGGACGGAAGTAAAGCTACAACTGTACTTGTGAATAACAAAGTAAGTCGTAAAAAATAGAAAAGCGGAGGTAGCGTTAGTAAAATATAAACAAATTAGGCAATGAGAACTTGAAAATCAAGTGTAAAGCTCTTTAATTTCTCTTAAATTTAAGTCATGACCCCCTCCCCTCTTCCACCGACTACTGCTCTCTCCCTCTTCGAAGGATTTGAAAATCACTAACTGGCGATATTTTGTTGTTGCTGTAACTGACATTGACATCCATGTCCATCTGGACTAAAATAGGGAGCAGGAATTGTAAAAGGTAGTGAATAGGGCTAGTGTAATATTTACCACATCATCCTTCAAGTACCAGTACAACTACTAAAATAATGTCACTGCTATCTGTGTTACCATCGGAGTAGACAGAGAGTCGTGAGCCAGAAGATTTGGTTCCGCATGGCTAGTGCTGTCGCCACAGACTGGTCAGGTTAGGATGTATAATTTCACTTGCCGACAGAAGAACGCCATAACCTTACCGGCGGTCTTCACATGAGAGCACTATGGTGTAACAGCCCTGGTGTAACAACTATTACTGCTGCTGCTACTTTAAGTGGGTAAAGCAGTTACTGTGACTTAAAGCTCTCTCAGTTAATAGTTTGCCCCCCCCCCCCCCCCCTTTTCCCCCAAATTCACCGACAACTCTTTCCCTCATTGAAGTAGTTGGGAGAAAAAAACACTTGAAAAGCAAACGAACACAGGAAAAAAACACCATAATTAGGAAATGAACGCCATAGTAAACAGCACAGCTTAAAATTCCAACACAGATGAAATAACTAAATCTAAATGAAAATAAATGAAAATCTATAAAATTTCAGCGTAACCATGCAATCGGGAAAGTTTAACAATGCAATCATAAGTATGCGAAATGGTCAAATTTAATTATCAAATGGTTTAACCATTTACTTTTTTTTTTTTTTTTTTTTTTTTTTTTTTTTTTTTTTTTTAAATATTTAGGCAACATGGCTAGTGCTGTCACCACGGCAGAGCAGATGAGGATATTATTTTAGTCCGGATTCGAACCCAGGACTACCGCACATGAACCCAGTGTTCTAACCATTCGACGAAGCAGCCACTTAATCGGAACAAAGAAAAGAGAACTCAACTATTAGACATGTGAGTCCCTACTACTGTGTCGCGATTAAAACACAATTCAAAACCGCAGGCAATTGTTTTCTCGTAGACAGATACTCCAGATATGTTAATGAAATAGAAATCGCACGTGTCTAACACGGTTAATGAAGTTAATGTCGCAGTCACTGTCTGCGCCGACGTCGAGATATACCTTGATCCCCCCCCCCCCCCCCCCCCCCCCCCCCCCCCCCCAATCGAAGGTTGTTTGAAAAAAAAAACAGAAAATAGAAATCGTGTTTAATATGGTTATTGTGGCAAATGTAGAGATAGTCTTGTTTGCTGTACCACGACCTACTCTATGTATTAGTATTAGAGAAGGCGTTGGCTGCACGTAACTCGCCGGCGAATGGTAAATACGGCGCATGCGCAATTACTAACGTGGCTATAATTAGAAATCACTCAAGTTATAAATATTAGTTGCGTATATTTTGGCATAAATTGTGGTCACCTATCTCTAACAGTGACAGGTTGAATTTCAAACCACGACAGTTCAAAATCCGGTATCACAACAAACATATCCTGAAAATTTCAGCTAAATCGGTTCAGTAGTTTCCGAGTCTATAGGGGTGAAACAAACACACAAACATTGATTTATATATATATATATATATATATATATATATATATATATATATATATATATATATATATATATATATATTGTTCTTTTAAAAACGTTATCTGTGTCTTTTTTGTCACCCCCCCCCCCCGTTTTTTACCCCCAAGTGATGACACACGGGTGGTCCGTGCCGGTGCGCCACTGCTTGTAATTCCCCGTTGTGACCCTTATCTGGTCATACACAGCCATTCCCTTGTGGGGCGCAATTTTTCGTTATTTTAAAGCCCCACCTTGGCTATTGCTGGAGGTCCTAATATAACCTACGCTTAAACGTGGTTTCCGGGACCTCTCCTCGTATGATCCTCATCCGAATGGAGGCACTTCGTGTCATGGGTGTTTATCGCTCTGTGTGATGTCCTGGTGGGGTAAAACTTACTTACATACTTACTTAATTGTGTCTCAGTTTAAGCGCACAGCTTTGAAGAAAACATTGATGAAGCAGACCTTCCCCGGGCCCAACATACATTTTTTCCCCTAGGCAATCTAGTTTTTTTTTTTTTTTTTTTACGGTAAGCAGTTCAGGAACACTTTAAAGTAACACTTATTTTTTTAATCGCTATTGGAATATACACTTTGTGATTAGTACTAGCACCGAGCTGGTGCCCACCAGGACATCACACAAGCGATAAACACCCCGTGACACAAAGTGCCACCATGCGGATGAGGA